TCTGTACATTACAATGAGAACTTAATTATACCCTGAAGTCCCCTCCTAATTTCCCTCCATCCGAGCCGCCTGCATAGAAGATGTTATCAGCCCTGGCAGATCCTTGATGTGTGATTGACACAATCTGTAACTGTCTCTCTCTTGTCACTTAGCAACTACTTACACCTGCTCCCTATCTGCTACTAGACCAACACTACAACCTGTGCTCATGCCTCCTAGGCTGCATTATAGGAGATCCTGACTGCACTGAACAGAGCAACTACTTATTTATTAGGGATGAATTTATTAATTACTCATTACTAATCAGAATGCCAAGCAGAGACTGGACTCTGTTCTATGCAACAAAAGTCTGATGACACACTTATGGTCAGATTCAGTTTTCTGTGTATTTAAATCTGTCACCTCTACGTACCTAGCCTTTGTAAGTGTATTTATCCCAAAATGTAGCATAAGCACAGGTTTAAATCTACAATACTCAGTAAATAGAAGTACAATGTTCCAATACTCAGTAAATAGAAGTACAATGTTCTAATACTCAGTAAATAGAAGTACAATGTTCCAATACTTAGTAAATAGAAGTACAATGTTTCAATACTTAAAAAATGGCAGTACAATGTTCCAATACTTAGTAAATAGAAGTACAATGTTCTAATACTTAGAAAATGGCAGTACAATATTCCAATACTTAGTAAATAAAAGTACAATGTTCCAAAACTTGGAAAATGATAGTACACTGTTCCAATACTCAGTAAATAGAAGTACAATGTTCCAATACTCAGTAAATAGAAGTACAATGTTCCAATACTTAGAGAATGGCAGCACAATATTCCAATACTTAGTAAATAGAAGTACAATGTTTCAATACTTAAAAAATGGCAGTACAATGTTCCAATACTTAGTAAATAGAAGTACAATGTTCTAATACTTAGAAAATGGCAGTACAATATTCCAATACTTAGTAAATAAAAGTACAATGTTCCAAAACTTGGAAAATGATAGTACACTGTTCCAATACTCAGTAAATAGAAGTACAATGTTCCAATACTCAGTAAATAGAAGTACAATGTTCCAATACTTAGAGAATGGCAGCACAATATTCCAATACTTAGTAAATAGAAGTACAATGTTTCAATACTTGGAAAATGGCAGTACAATGTTCCAATACTTAGTAAATAGAAGTACAATGTTCTAATACTTAGAAAATGGCAGTAAAATATTCCAATACTTAGTAAATAGAAGTACAATGTTCCAAAACTTGGAAAATGATAGTACAATGTTCCAATACTCAGTAAATAGAAGTACAATGTTCCAATACTTAGAGAATGGCAGCACAATATTCCAATACTTAGTAAACAGTAGTATAATGTTCCAAAACTTGGAAAATGGTAGCACAATGTTCCACTACTTAGAAAATGGCAGTACAATGTGCCAATACTTAGTAAATAGAAGTACAATGTTCCACTACTTAGAAAATGGCAGTACAATGTTCCAGTACTTAGAAAATGGTAGTACAATATTCCAAATTCCAATACTTAGTAAATGGTAGTAAAATGTTCCAATACTGTACTTAGAAAATAGTATAATATTCCTTTGCATGGATCTACAGCTATTTGTTTGTTTGTTTATTTGTTGTTTTTTCTAATTTCTTCCCAAACTGTTACAAATGCACAACTATCCAATATCATTGTACAATACATATGAGAATGGGAGTACAATATTCCAATGCAGCCATACATTCAGTAATCTGGATGGATCTAGGTTTTTCTATGCAGTTGTATTTTTTTTCACAAATCTGCAAAGGTACAGGTACACAATGACATTGTACAATGCTTAGAGAATGGGTGTATACTATTTCAATGCCATTAAAACATGGACCTATAGCTATTTGTTTTAGGTATTTGATTATTTAATTTATTTATTTATTAATTGTAAATATATCTTCCCAAAATTCTCCAAAGGTACAGGTACACAATAACATTGTACAGTACATAGAGATTGGGAGTACACTATACCAATATATCCAAGAATCAGGACGGATCTATAGTTCTTTTTTAATGTAATTGTATTTTTTCTCCAAAGGTACAGGTGCACACTATCATACAGATAATGGGAGTCCACCATTCCAATTCAGGATGGATCTATAGCTATTTGTTTTTAATGTAGTTTTATTTTTTCCCCAAATTCTCCAAAGGTACAGCTAGCTACACAATAACCTTGTACAGTAGTGATTGGAAGTACAACATTCCAAATCAGTCAAACATTCAGGAATCAGAATGGATTTATAGATATTTGTTTTTATATGTAAATGCATATCTATAGCTATATTGTTTTTTTATGTATTTGTACCCCCCCCCCCCCCCCCCATTCTCCAAACGTGCAGCTACACATTACATACAGCACTTAGAGATGACAGGAGTCCACTATTTCAATTCAGGATGGATCTATAGCTATTTCTGTTTTATGTATTTGTATTTCCCCCCAATTCTGCAAAGGTACAGCTACACACTAACATACAGCACTTAGAGATAATGGGAGTCCACTGTTCCAATTCAGGATGGATCTATAGCTGTTTTTTGTTGTTGTTTTTAATGTAATTGTATATCTATAGTTTTTGTTTTTTTTGTATTTGTGTGTTCCCCCCAAATTCTGCAAAGGTGCAGCTACACACTAACATACAACACCTAGAGACGATGCGAGTCCACTATTCCAATTCAGGACGGATCCATAGCTATTTGTTTTTTTATGTAATTGTATATCTATAGCTGTTTGTTTTTATGTATTTGTATTTCCCCTAAATACTCCAAAGGTACAGCTACACAATAACCTTGAACAGTACTTAGTGATTGAGAGTACAATATTCCAATGCAGTCAAACATTCAAGAATCAGAATGGATTCCCCAATTCTCCAAACGTGCAGCTACACACTAACACAGCACTTAGGGGTAATAGGAGTCCACTATTCCATTTCAGGGTGGATCTATAACTATTTGTTTTTTTATGTATTTGTATTCCCCCCAAAACAAAATTCTGCAAAGATGCAGCTACACACTAACATACAGCACTAAGAGATAATGGGAGTCCACTATTCCAATTCAGGATGGATCTATAGCTATTTGTTTGTTTTTTTTATGTAATTGTTCATCTATAGCTATTTTTTTTTTATATATTTGTATTTCCCCCCAAAATTCTGCAAAGATGCAGCTACACACTAACATACACCACTTAGAGATAATGGGAGTCCATTATTTCAATTCAGGATGGATCTATAGCTATTTGTTTTTTTAATGGGAATGTATATCTATAGCTATATTTTTTTTTATGTATTTGTATTTCCCCCCAAATTCTGCAAAGGTGCAGCTACACACTAACATACAGCACTTAGAGATGACAGGAGTCCACTCTTCCAATTTAGGATGGATCTATAGCTATTTGTTTTTTTTTATGGAATTGTATATCTATAGCTATTTGTTTTTTTATGTAATTGTATATCTGTTTGTTTTTTTATGTATTTGTATTTTTCCCCCAAATTCTGCAAAGGTGCAGCTACACACTAACATACAGCACTTAGAGATGATAGGAGTCCACTCTTCCAATTCAGGATGGATCTATAGCTATTTGGTTTTTTTTATGGAATTGTATTTCTATAGCTATTTGTTGTTTATGTAATTGTATATATATATTTGTTTTTTTATGTATTTGTATTTCCCCCCAAATTCTGCAAAGGTGCAGCTACACACTAACATACAGCACTTATTAGAGATGATAGGAGTCCACTCTTCCAATTCAGGATGGATCTATAGCTATTTCTTGCAGTATAACCCCATAGAGTCTAGGCATCCCTCTCCTTCCCATGGCATCCTACAGAATGTATAAGTTTTGCTAACTATGATTCGATTTCTCCTTCTGGTACCATTTTTTCTCACTCCTTCCCCCCCACCTCAGGCAAAGAAAGAAAAGAGTCCATAATAAAGAGGGAACCATCCTGACCCTCTCCCACCAGGTTTTATTTTAGGCAAGGCGGCAGCCTCGTTGTTCCCTCTGGATGCTAGGTCTTCACCCCATGACGTCATGGGACAGCGTGCCATGCAAATCATCGTCCCTTCCCAGCAGAGTGACATCCAGAGGCAGGCATGCTCACACCTCCCTCCCAGCTCCCCTCCTTCCAGCTGGCTGTGCCCTCCCCTCCCCGCCGGCCGCTGGCCTCCTATTGGCCGCGGTGAAATCATTTAATCCCAGCCGGCGTGCGCCGTATGGCTGCTGTGCGCCGAGCTCCGAGCGTCTGATGCCGCAGACCAGCCAGCCAACGTCCTCCGAAGGTGCCCAGCGCTGCCCTGCTCAAGCAAACACGTGTTCTGTGGGACTTTTCCTTTCCCTGGGATGACCGCTGACTCCCCGTTGGAGTGTCGCTGACTCCGCGGGTCCCAAAGTTGCACTTGGCTCCGTCCAGCCGCCAGAGAAGCGTCGCTCGTCGACTCGCAGGACAGGTCGGATAAAGTGCTCGCCTCTGCGGATCTGCGTGGCACAGCTCAGGGGGACAGGTGAGGGGAGCAGGCGGGGGACCTGTTGTGCTCAGCATCCCACAGCACAAAGTTTTTTTTTCCCTCCTCTCTCTCTGTGATCCCCCCTCCTCCTCCTCTCCTCCCCCCCGCCCAGACCTGATGCTCTTGAGTCCCCAAGTTTCCCAAGCAGTGAGTGGACTATAACCGCCTCCATCCAGAGCCCAGGAGCCGCCTTGTGTGTAGAGAGGGGCCCCCAACCAGCTGTGTGAATGTACAGTATGATGATGGAGACGGACTTACACTCCCCCGGGGTGCAGCCTCCCACGAACACGGGCCAAGCCGGGGGAGGAGGGGGCAACAAGGCCAGCCAGGACCGGGTGAAGAGGCCCATGAACGCCTTCATGGTATGGTCCAGGGGCCAGAGGAGGAAGATGGCCCAGGAGAACCCTAAAATGCACAACTCGGAGATCAGTAAGAGACTGGGGGGCCGAATGGAAAGTCATGTCCGAGGCCGAGAAGAGGCCCTTCATTGACGAGGCCAAGAGGCTGCGAGCCCTGCACATGAAGGAACACCCGGATTACAAGTACCGGCCCCGGCGGAAGACCAAGACTCTGCTCAAGAAGGACAAGTACTCCCTGGCCGGGGGCTTGCTGCATGCCGCCGGGGGAGGACACATGGGAGTCGGCCTGAGCCCGGGTGGAGGCAGTGGAGGCTCCGTGGGAGGTGGAGGAGCCGGGGGCGTGGTGGTGCAGCGCCTGGAGAGCCCGGGCTCAGGGGGATCCGCGGGGGCCGGAGGATACGCTCACATGAACGGCTGGGCGAACGGGGCGTACCCGGGCTCGGTGGCGGCAGCGGCGGCGGCAGCTATGATGCAGGAAGCTCAGCTCGCCTACAGCCAGCAGCAGCACCCCGGCAGCGGGGGGCACCATCCTCACCACCACCCCCATCACCCTCACCATCACCCCCATCATCACCCCCACCATAACCCACCTCCGCACCCACCGCCGCCTCCCCCGCAGCCCATGCACCGCTATGACATGAGTGCCCTTCAGTACAGCCCCCTGCCCGGGGCTCAGAGCTACATGAGCGCCTCTCCCTCCAGTTACGGGGCCCTCAGCTACTCAAGCCAGCAGCAGCACCAGGGCTCCCCGTCCTCGGCGGCTGTAGCTGCGGCTGCAGCGGCCGCCGCCGCCGCAGCGGCATCTTCAGGGGCCCTCGGGGCTCTAGGCTCTCTGGTGAAATCGGAGCCCAGCGTGAGTCCACCTGTGAGCGGGGGAGGCTCCCACGGCCGACCGCCTTGCCCCGGGGATCTGCGGGAGATGATCAGTATGTACTTACCTAGCGGGGGAGAGGCTGGAGACCCAGCGGCCGCTGCGGCGGCGGCTGCAGCAGCAGCGGCTGCAGCAACTAGCAGACTGCACAGCTTGCCCCAGCACTACCAGGGGGCTGGCACGGGGGTAAACGGCACGGTGCCACTCACACACATCTGAGGAGCCCAGGACAGACTTATAGAGACTAGAGAGAAAAACCGCCCCCCCCCCCCCCCAAACTGTGCTATGTTCCACACTCAGAACTCTCACTACTTTTCCTTTTGTACAGAAATGTTTTGATGTTCTTGTATAAAAAAAAAAAATATATCAAACTGAAAAAAAAAAAAAGAAACAGGAAAGTTAAGGTAACCTATTATTGTTTGGATCTTTTTAGAAGTTGAGCTTATGCTCTTGCCAAAACCAATTCTAGATGGGTGTAAATTGGGTCTCAATGTACAGTATTTATGAGTTGTATAGGATGGGGGTATAGATTTTATTTGCTATCACACCTTTTGTTTTTTTTCCACTTTTTAACAAAAAAAAAAAAAACTTCCAGATTTCCCTGATCCCTAACGATTCTACACGTTTCTGTACATGTTTGTTGTTTATTTATGAACAAAAAAATCCGAAGCTAGAATATATTTTGTTTTTTTATTTTTGTAAGCGTTTATGTATTTGCTTTTTTTCTGTTTTGGTTTTATATTATTTCATGTACATTCCTGGCGATTTTTTTTAATTCTAGGCGTTGCGGATTCATATTGTGTATATAGTTTATTAAGCGTCCTCTCTGCTTTAAAAAAAAAAAAAAAACAGATTCATCAAAAAGGATGAGCTGAGTTTTATGCTAAATAAATTTTCAACTGAAAAAAGAAAATATAAATTTTTTTTTTGTTATTTCAGAAATGTATTTTGAGTGTCTAGTGGGTGGAAATTTCAAAAAGTTGGAAGTGATAACCCAAACGGATTTGCCAATTGCCATAATCTCTTTTTTATACTCTTTTTAAACTTTTTTTTATCCATTCATGTTTTTCTTTTAATAGAACTATATAAAATGATAAAATAAATAATATATAAAATGATGTTCTATTAAAACAAAAAATAAAGGTTTAAAAAAATAAATAAAAATGCTTCCACACTGACTGAATGCATGCTTTCAATTTGGAAGCATTGTTTTTAAATGTTTCTTTTTAACCATTCATTAACCCTTTCAAATTGACTGGTTAGATTTTACAAAATGTTTTGAGTTCATTCAATGATGCGCTATGTACAGAGTATATTTTCAACTGGTGTTAAATTATGTTTATCATTCAAATATATTCAGACCAGGGATTATAGTTCTATCACACTGGATTCCCCCTTTTATTTAGCCTGTCTTTAAATAATTATGTAATGGGTTTAATCTATTCTTTATAATTGTATATCTTTTATTAAAAATGAGAAATCACACATATCATTTTAATACTTTCTTTACATGCCAAAACTGGTGTTTCAGGTTCATTGAATATGATTTAGGAGGACTAGCACATGAAGTTTTGCCTAGTTGCACATAGCTGATTATCAATTTTCTCCCTTACAGATCACTAAGTAACAAATACCCCATTTCACAGCAAACAGCTCAGATCTGTAGTGAATCCATTGTAATTACCTCACTAATGAGTAATCCTTTTGTGGCGTGTTGGCTTTTTACGTGCTTCGTTAAATCCATTGCAACAGTTTCATTAAGGCCTCTATTAATTTAATGATGTCATAATTAAGTTCTGCTCAACCTGAACCTTTACATAGTTCATAGTGCTACAGAAATATTCCTGATGGTTGGCAAGTCTTAAGCCCTGAATACTTAGCTAGGGTTAAATGTTTAGCAATTTTTTTTTCTGTTGAAGGGTAGGCTATTTCTAGCTGATAAATGCAAGGAAAGAAAGAATAGAAAAAAAAACTCAAAAATCTCTTTCTGACAGCGCCCAAAATAGAAGTACCATGACACTTCTTTATGGAGTCAGTGCTGTTTCTGCTTCTGTCTCCTTACCAGGAGGAAACTTATTTCATGCCTGTTCCTGTTTGTTCCAGTTTTTAAGTTTACTTAAGTTTTTAAGTTTACTGTTGTTTCAGATACATTTTGGAGTTCCTTGTACAAGGATAGACACTGATTTGCTAAAGGAGCTGAGAATCTTCATTCAAAAAAAATGAATGAAGATTCACTTCAATTATGCTATCATGGTAAAAGCTAAATTATATTTATTTCTTTAACCTGCACAAGACTTTAAAATCCAGGGTGTTTTATGTTTGTTTGTTTTTTTGTAATTCCTTGTAAAGTCAAAGAGACAAGGAATTGAGAATCTTCTCTCAAAAAATGAAGATTCGCTTCAATTATGCATTCATGTAAAACCATTTTCATGTTTATCCTGTACATGACTGTTTAGACCTATGTCTGTACATGACTATTTAGATGTATATCTGTGCATGACTGTTTAGACCTATGTCTGTACATGACTATTTAGATGCATATCTGTACATGACTGTTTAAATCTATTTTCCTTTCTTTTTCTTTCTTTCTTTCTTTCTTTCTTTCTTTCTTTTCTTTCTTTCTTTCTTTCTCTTATCTTTCTTTCTTTCTTTCTCTCTATCTCTCTATCTCTTTCTCTCTTTCTCTCTCTTTCTTTCTTTCTTTCTCTCTATCTCTCTATCTCTCTTTCTCTCTTTCTCTCTCTCTTTCTTTCTCTCTTTCTCTCTATCTCTCTCTCTCTCAAAAAAAAAAATGAAAATTCACTTCAATTATGCATTCATGTAAAAATCAGTTTCATGTCCATCCTGCACATGACTGATTAGACTTATTTCTGTACACAACTGTTTAGATCTTTCTTTCTTTCTTTCTTTCTTTCTTCTTTCTTTCTTTCTTTCTTTCTTTCTTTCCTTTCTTTCTCTTTCTTTCTTTCTTTCTTCTTTTTCTTTCTTTCTTTCTTTCTTTCTTTCTTTCTTTCTTTCTTTTCTTTCCTTCCTTCCTTCCTCCTTTCCTTTCCTTTCCTTCCTCCTTTCCTTTCCTTCCTCCTTTCCTTTCCTTCTCCTTTCCTTTCCTTCCTCCTTTTTTTTCCTTCCTCCTTTCCTTTCCTTCCTCCTTTCCTTTCCTTCCTTTTTTCTTTCCTTCTTTTCCTTCATTCATTCTTTCCTTTTTTTTTGCAATTCCTTGTAAAATCAAAGAGACGGATATGCTAAAGGAGTTGAGACTCTTCACACAAAAAAAAATCAGGATTCAATTCAGTGAAGAGCAAATTCCTCTGTATTTATTATATTTGCACATGACTGTTCATATATATATCTTTTCTTTGTTTGCAATTCCTTGTAACTTCCAAGAGACTGATTTGCTAAAGGAGTTGAGAATCTTCACTCTGATTCAATTCAGTTGCCCAATTATGGGAAGAGCAAATGCAAATTCCTCTGTATTTTATTATATTTGCACATATCTTTTCTTTGTTTGCAAATCCTTGTACATTCCAAGAGTCTGATTTGCTAAAGGAGTTGAGAATTTTCACTCTGATTCAATTCAGATACACAATTATGGGATGAGCAAATGCAAATTCCTCTGTATTTATTATATTTGCACATGACTGTTCATATCTTGTTTTTTTGTTTTGTTTTCGCAACTCCTTGTAAAAGAGACTGCTTTGCTAAAGGAGTTGAAAAACTTTGAGAATTAAATTCTAGTTTATCCTATTCTGCACATGATTTAAAATGGACACATCTACATCATGTATAGGTTCATAAATCCTTTAGTGAAGAATCATAACTCCTTTAGTAAATCGGCCTGGAAGTCTTGTTCAGGATAAATTGATGGATTCTTTCTGAGCTCCAGGCCGTTTCATACCCAGACTGGGGGGACAAGAAGTCCTCTTTTATGCGATGTGAGGAACTACAGGCAAATGTTTCCTGGTGGCAGGGCAGAACAAGCATTTATTTCAGAGAAGACTTTTTACTTTGTACTAGTTCTAGGATCTCTGCCTGTCTCCTGTTTGCCACTCACCGACATGATTGTGGGGGAAATAATAGTATCTGTTAATTGTGCTGACAGCCAGGACTAGAGCTAGTAGATGGATTGATACTTGATAGACGTATCTCTGATCATCTCAGTAGTAGCCATTGCAGCTTGCATGCATTAGTTCAATAGAAAAGCATTTATTCGACCAGGAACAGGCATTTTAGACGATATAACTATATTTAATCAATTTGCAGTAGCACATTACATAGTTAGATATGCATCAGTAGCCTGGAGACTTGAACTACTTAGTAGCAAAACTATGGTGCTACTCTTCTATATCCATACAGTCAGGGCACCTTCTATTTTGTTATATTAGGTCCATTATTGTTATTATTACTATTTTTATTGCATTTAGGAGACCAAGAGCAGAATATGATCTCTTCTATATTCATACAGGGCTTGTCAAGGCACCTTCTATCTTGCAATGTTAGGTCACTTGTTGTTATTGTTAATATTAATATTACTATTTAATTTAGAATTCAAAGAGCAGAATATGATGTGCTGGTGTGGATGCAGTCAGCTTTGTCAGATTTTTCTGTACTCTGGTATCATTTTTCTGGCTGGTGCTGTTAATGGTGGAGGCATGTCTCCAGTGTTTGGAGGAGAAGTTATGGTAGCTGTGCAGGCCAGTGTATATGTTATGTGTCAGCATAGATTAAGATGAATAGGAGCGACCATGGGGCAGAGTGTTTTGTGTTTTTAGAGGGCTGGATTAAAGAACACAAGTCCTGACCCTGGGGTCATCACTGAGTCAAACCCATTTACAATCACCTAATGGAACCCAAAGCTCAATTCAACAAGTAAATTTAAGGACATCAAGTAGAAATGGAGGGGGGACAGTAATTCCAATAGGAGAACATCGAATTTAGAATGTATTATTATTAATATTATTCTTCTTTAACATGTCTTTGTCTTAAAGCGATGGAGGGACTGATTAGTTTTTAGTTCTGTCTCTGATGGAGCGCCTACACAGGACAAGACCTGTCACCTAAATGTATTCAAATGGGGGGGAAGTGTGATCAGGATTATCGGCTCCTATTGCCTTTTGAGCAGCTCTTCTTAAACTTAAAAATTACATAACATGGCTACTATTAATAATATTAAATAGTAACAGCCTAAAAATTATAATACATGGCTAGTATTATTCATAAAA